CACTCAAGCGCTGCACCTCGAAGAAGGGAGACTGCGTAATTAATACGCGTGGCGTCGTCATTAACTCCGGCTGCAGTAAAGAAGACTTCGACCCCGAACAGCCACCCTTTTACCGTAACCGTTTTGTCCGTAGGATTAACGGAGGTGGGTTGACGGGCTTGATTTTGATCGTCGTCACTGCAACTGGTGCTGCTGCCACTCGCTGCCTGTCCTCCTCTTCGAAGTCACATGTGAGCGCATCCAATGGATTGCTCATCGCCTGACTGTTGCCCTCGCCTTCGTCCACAGGCGACTCCTGACGCGCTTCACCTCGCGTCTGGCATAGTTCGGAGTTTTCCTCTCGCAGTGTCGTCACTTCCGCCATTAACGATTTCATGCTTTCCTGCATTTCTGCCATTTGCGCCATCATCCTGTTCAGTGCCTCCTGATCCATGTGCCTAACGCTACGTCTGGTGGGCAGTCGGGTCTCCGTGGCCTTCAGGCAAATGAAAACACGAACTATCGGAGTCGGGCAGGATTGAATTAACAATCCCTGCGGCCAACCGTCGTGTAGTCACTAACCAGCCACACCCTATGCCACCAAACTACCCTCGGAAAAGCGGGGTGAACTAGGAAAGTAGCTCTGATACCAGGTGTTATGAGTTGTAAAGGAGAGTGCGCAGGTAAACGAATAACGAGGCTGTGACTGAATGAATCTGAGAATACAATGAATGCACAGACTATTATAGGACTAGCCTAACGAGGAGGAAACCTCGGGTGGCGAGGTTGGGTGCAAGTTCGGCGATGGGAATGCTGAAGGCGACGCGAGGAGCCTCGGCAGCGTTGAAATCGGCCGAACGTGCAAACTCCAAAAAACGGGTTGTACGTGAAGCAGTCAACCCCGATAAGGAATTTGGGAAAATTCCTTACATATCTGGTAGTCTGTAACGCATACACAAAAGCGTTGAATCAAGAAAATATATTTCTGTTTAAATTGGAAGAGTGAGAACTTCTGTTACGAGTGCAATTGAGTGAGCGAACGAGAATTGCACTATCGAAGCAAGAGTACAATGAGCGAAGGCATGAGCGAAAAATATATAGTGAAACTACAGTGGTAACGGTAATGGACTGTGGTTGTCGCGCGATGGGTCTGGGACTGAGGTTGGGGAAAATGTCGAAGCGGAGGCCCGGAGCGCGGGTTACCCGCCGAGCCGTGGGGTCGGGGTGCGACGTGCGAAGGTGGCGGGAGGATTGTCGATGCGAGGGTTGCGAGTGGTAACGGTGCTGACTGTGGTGCTACAGTGGTGTACGCGCTGAGCGGGGACGCGAAGTAAGGAAAAGGAATTTTCCTTACACTGCCCCCCCCCCTAAGGAGGTCCTCCATACGAAAGTGCGTGTACATCCCTGAAGTTTCGGCTGCGCAGATACTCGGTGAGGATGGGGTGGTTTTCGAGTCTGTCCAAGGGAACCCAGTTGTCTTCGGTGTATGTACGGTCTTTTCGGCGGATCAAGAACTCGAACCTTCAGGCTCCTCGAGGGTCACGAACTCTGTGACTTAGAATCTTTTTCGGGGGTGATGATTGGTTCAGTCGGTGGTCGTGTCATGCTGGCTGGGCGATTACGTGGGGACGTAAGGGCGAAGCACGCTGACGTGGAATGAGGGGCTGACGTACCAGTCAGCGGGGAGGAGGAGGTGGGCGGTGACAGGTGTGATCATGTGGCTGATGCGAAATCGTCCACAGTATCGGGGGCGGAGTTTTGGGGTGATGGGCCGGCGGAGGTTTTTGGTGTCAAGTAAAACTAGGTCGTCGGGCTAGTAAGTGACGGGTCTGCGGTGGCGGTCGGCGTTGCGTTTAGCGATGATGTTTGATTTTTTTATTGCGTCGGCTGCCCGGGTCCGTACTATTTCGCTGAACTGTTGTGCTCGTGGTACTGGGTTGTCAGGATTCGGGGTCATGGGTACTGTCGGGTCTTGTCTGTAGTTCAGGTAAAACGGTAATTGTTGGGTCGTGGTGGACGGTGAGTTGTTGTATGCGAATTCAATGAGTGGCAACTGTTGTTCCCAAGTGGTTGGGTCGTCGCACGTGGCTCGAATGAGTTTTGTCGACGACGACCAAGATCCCGTCGTTCCCACTCACCCCCCACGTTTACGGAACCGATGGATATCGACAAATACGGCGCGACGCAGCAGCCGACAAAATGCGAGTTTTGCGGCGCAGCAGGGCATCAGTTTTTGTCGTGATGAAGAAAGCATGTGCAGCACTCCGGGACGGTAACAGTGGAGCACCCCGAAGTAAAAAAAACGGGAATCGCCAGTAGCCGCAGATCGACCTGGCAATCGCGTAAAGATCCGAAAAGTAGGAAAAGGCGACAACGTGACTTCAGAGCGGGTGAAAAAAGGAGAAAATGATGGCGCGAAAATAAAACGTCATGACCGGCCGGCATCAGGGGAAATCGCCGAGGCGAATGGAGGCTCCGCGAAAAAAGACTCTGCACCGACCGGGAAACTCCAGCCGAACACCCACGAAAGTAAGAATCCGTTAAAAGTATCCAATAAATATATTCTAACAAAAAATATTGCTTCTCGTGGTTTTCAAGCCTTTGAAAAATTCAGGGGAGATTTAGAGGCCAAGAAACGCCTTTAGAAATAATTCAGGCAAAGTGTCAGAATGTCATATTTGTTATCTAGTCTGCAGTGGGGTACTCTATAGCGAGTATAACCCCTTAGGGTTTCATATTTGTATCTCATTGCTTGCTAGTACAACCCCTCTTTTGCCTAACTTCTTCTTGCCTAGCTAGGTTAGTCCTAGCTATGGCTCTTACCTCGATCTACCTATCTTCACATGGTATCAGAGCAGTAAGCTCCTGGCATGTGTGCCTAACCACGAACCTTCCGCTGCAACTATTCCTCGGGACGCACGGCGATTTTTCTACCCACCGTGCGCCCCGGGGCGCGCGGCGTTTCTCATCCCGCCGTGCGCCCCGAGGCGCGCGGCGGGTTGCTGCCCCGTCACGCCATGCGCCGCCCCCGGGAGACGCTGTGACGGGCGACGGGGACCTCCGCGTCGCCCCCCGTCGCCCGTCGTGGCCTCTGTGCGGCCCGTACAGGCAGCGCGCGGCCCGTACGGGCTGCGCCAGACCCACGCGCTGCCCGTACGGGCTGCGCCAGGCTCGTGCGCGGCCCGTACGGGCTGCGCCAGGACGTCGCGCGGCCCGTACGGGAGGCGCCCGACCCGCGCGCGGCTCGGGCTGCATGCGTGCGGCTCGGGCGTCCCTATCAGGCCCGTGGTGGGCCCGATCCTCCCTGTCCCTTCCCTCCCCGCTGTCCCCCAGTGTTCCTACGGCCGCCCCACCCCTCTTACTCCCCATTCCCCTATATTAGGGTTTGGGGTTGAGGGGTATGGGGGTGACCCTCCTCAGTACCACTCCCTGCTCCTCCTCCTCCGTCTCCTTGTGCTGCAGCTGCCGCTGAGGGGGGGGTGATTGTGGTGGAGCCGGTGGAGTGATACTAAGGGGGGGGTGAAGGGGAGGAGAGCTAGCGGTGTAGCAGTGGGTGTGTGCCAGGGGGAGTAGGACAGTTTGGGGAAGCTTCATGGAGGTTGCCGTTGTGTCGCTAGCAGCACCTGTAGTCCGGGGACTTCGTCCGGTAGCCCAGTCGTAGCCAGCTGTGCCAGCCGCCCGTGGGTCCGTTGCTCGTCTGCCGCTACTTTAGCCGCGGGGCCAATTACTCCTGTAGTCCGGGGGCTTCGTCCGGTAGCCGCTGTGCCAGTCTGCCTCCTGTTGCCCGAGTGTCTGCAGCTTCATCCGCCGCCTCCTATCTCCTTTCCTCTCACTCTCTCTCTCCTCCGCCTCACGTGCCCGTTGTGACTACCTCTAGCTTTGCTTATAACTGTGAACTTTATACTACTGCTGCTTGAACTTGTGCTCAGATTGTGTGGTGACATTGTGATCCACCCTGAGCTTGTTCTGTTTTGCTTGCTCTGCTGAGTACACCCCACTTTGGCTATGGGGGTGTGTCAGAATGTCATATTTGTTATCTAGCCTGCAGTGGGGTACTCTATAGCGAGTATAACCCCTTAGGGTTTCATATTTGTATCTCATTGCTTGCTAGTACAACCCCTCTTTTGCCTAACTTCTTCTTGCCTAGCTAGGTTAGTCCTAGCTATGGCTCTTACCTCGATCTACCTATCTTCACACAAAGTACTGCGGAGCGCAGAAAAGGGTCGTGCGTTCCGTGGAGTTAATATTCTCTCCCCGCAGCACAGTGTTAAGGCTCCCCGTTGCCCACATGTGAAGTCTACACAGCTGCCAAGGCTTAGAGGAGAATTCTAGGCTCCTGAGAAGTGGTATAAGCCTCAGAAAAATCCTCCTACCCCCAGGTGAAGTTCGAAGAGAAAAGTGATTAGTCAGGTATAGGAAATAGGGGTGGTGTTCAGTTTGATGTACCCTATGATCCTACCAATGAGACCCTCTTTGGCTACTCAGCACAGCAGGCACCACTACTCCTCGAGATGTTATGCAAAGGACGACGCCTCCAGCCACTGGTGGACAGCGGTGCATCTCACTCGGTGTGTGACCGCGAGACGTTGGAGAAAATTGGGGAACCTTTCGAGGAGACCAAGTTCTCGGCAACGATGGTGGACGGTACGAAACTTCCCATCCATGGCGAAACATCACTGCAGCTGCACATAGGGGCGCTAAGGTGGAAGCCGATGTTGCCGGTCACGAACATCAAAGGGTTAGATTTCATCTTGGGGCGAGATTTCTTGAAGCGGTTCTACCCCGAGATCGACTGGGTCAACAGGAAGGTGTGCATCTACAACAACGGGAAGCGGATAGCACTACGAAGCTGGACAAATACAGGGGACGTTCCTGAAACGACACTGGCACGGTTTGAACAGACGGTGAACGAGAATAACACGGGATACCTAGCACTGGTTATGGCAGCACCAGAGGAGGAGAAGCCAAAAGCAGAACTACCTGGAGCAGTGAAGGAGGTCTTGGAGCAGTACAAGGATATAATGCCCAACGACCTACCTGCAGACGTACCCCCTGGAGGGGGGGGTGGAGGTGGTGGTGGAGGCAGTGGAGGGGGTGGGGGTGGTGGTGGGAGTGGTGGCGGGGGTGGAGGTGTTGGTGGCAGCAGTGGAGGCGGCGGCGGCGGCGGCGGAGGCGAAGGGAGCGGAGGCGGCGGAGGCGGCGGAGGTGGTGGAGGCGGCGGAGGTGGCGGAGGCGGCGGCGGCAGCAAAGGACCTGGTCGCGGCTCTGCGCAGAGGAGTGGCTCCGGTGGTGGTCCGCGCCAGCAGCAGCAGCGCAGTCGTGAGACCCTGTCCCCTCAGCAGCTTCGTACGCTGCACGTCAGTGCGGTGGGGGTACGGGTCCCTGCACCTACATTTTCCGCACCTACGACCGCACCGGTGAGCAGTGCGGGGGCTCACACTCCACCCAACGCTGCTTCGGCTGCCAGACGGACGCGTGGCGTCACCAGTTCCCTGAGGCGACAGAGATCCCTCACTGGGGAGAGCTGTCTAGGGCGGGGGTTGCTATCTTTGATCTTGATTTTGATGCTATTCTTGCTGCCATGTATGCTGTTGCTGATAGTGTTGAAGGTGACTGTTACCTGTGTGTTCCGCCTGACCCGGGCATTGAGACTGCTGCTCTAGGTGCTGGTGAGGCTGCTGCTCTAGGTGCTAGCACGTCTGCTGCCCCAGGTGCTGGTGAGTCTGCCCTCTCAGGTACCACGTCGGCTCAGGCCTTACACACCTTCACCCTTGACTCGAGTGCTTCCCGCTCCTTCTTTCAAGACCGCACCACGCTTACGCCGCTTAGTCGGCCGGTTGCGGTCTCCCTGGCGGACCCCTCTGGGGGTCCTGTCCTTGCTCGCTTCTCCACAGTCTTACCGTGTCCGGCAGCCCCCTCTGGCACCCTGTCAAGTCTCTACCTCCCCTCGTTCTCTACAAACTTGGTGAGTGGCGCTGATCTAAAGGATAGGGGGGTTGACCAGTTCACTCCTGCGAGTCAGCGGATGACCCACTGCACGTGTGCTCGGACAAGCAGACACTTGGCCACGTTCACCCGTCGGCCGGGGTCGAGCCTGTACACCCTCACTACTGAGTCTCCTCCGGCTGGTGAGCCTGGTCGGGTCGCTGCGTCGAGTCAGGTGTTTGCTGCAGCGTCCAGGTTTGGTCCTGAGTCTGCTCCCTGCTCGTGTCGTCTCCTGTCTCACCAGACTCTCCTTTGGCACCACCGCCTTGGTCACCCCTCCCTGCCTCGTCTCCGAGGCATGGCCTCCCGTGTCCTTGTCTCTGGTCTCCCCCAGTCTCTCCCTCCTCTACCTCCGGGGCCTGCCCCTACCTACGTCCCCTGCGTCGAGGGGCGACAGCGCGCCGCCCCTCACTCCTCCGAGTTTCCTCCGACAGAGGCTCCGTTGCGGACTATTCACATGGACGTGTGGGGCCCCGCCCGCGTCCGTGGCCCGGGGCACGAGCGTTACTTCCTGTTGGTGGTTGACGACTACTCGCGTTACACCACGGTCTTCCCCTCGCGCAGCAAGGACGACGTCACTAAGGTGTTGATCGACTGGATCCGCGCAGCTCGTCTCCAGCTCAAAGAGAGTTTCGGCTCCGACTTTCCTGTTCTACGTCTGCACTCTGACAGAGGCGGGGAGTTTTCCTCTGCCCGTCTGGGAGCCTTCTGTCGTGCACAGGGCATCCGCCAGACCTTCACGCTTCCGGCCTCTCCACAACAAAATCGGATTGCTGAGCGCCGCATTGGCATGGTCATGGACGTCGCTCGTACGTCCATGATCCATGCGGCTGGCCCCCATTTTCTGTGGTCGTTTGCAGTTCAGTACGCGGCGCATCAGCTCAATCTTCAGCCTCAGGTCTCCTTGCCAGAGACCTCTCCCACCCTGCGGTGGACGGGGAAGGTTGGCGATGCGTTTGCGTTTCGGGTCTGGGGATCTCGGGCGTTTGTCCGCGACTTGTCCGCGGACAAGCTGTCCCCCCGTGCTGTTCCCTGCGTCTTCCTTGGCTTCCCCCCTGATGCGCCTGGGTGGCAGTTTTACCACCCCACCTCGCGTCGTGTTCTGTCCTCCCAGGACGTCACCTTTAACGAGTCGGTGCCTTACTACCGTCTCTTCCCCTACCGCGCTGCGCCCCTTCCCCCGCCGCCGCTCTTCCTTGCACCAGGTCCTCCCCCAGTAGACCCCCTCCCCCCTCTGGGTCCTGCCCCGTTAGGTGTGTCCCAGGTAGACGCAGTCGAGCCTGTCGAGGTAGCTGTTGACTCTGCTGTTGCTAGAGGTGCTGAGCCTGCGGGTGCCGGGTCTGGGGGTGCTGAGCGTGGGGGTGCTGAGACTGGGGTTGCCGAGTCTGGTGGTGTTGGTGCTGGAGGTGCTGCTGGAGCTAGTGCTTTTGAGGGTGCTGGAGTTGGCGCTGTTGGAGCTGGAGGTGCTGTTGGCGTTGGTGCTGCCGCTGGGGGTACTGGTGCTGTCCCTGCTGGTTCTGGAGGTGTTGCGCGGCTGCGGCCGTACTTCGTTCCGCTCCTTGAGCAGGTTCTTGGTCTCCCGCCCTCTACTGGTCCTGCTCCTCCCTTAGAGTGTCCACAGCCTGTCCAGTCGCAGTCACACATACAGCGCGCCTCCCCCCTGCCTGCTCCTTCTCCCTACACTTGTCCTACTGGAGGTCTTGCTGAGCGTCGTAAGCCCGCGTCTCGTCCTGCGTTGCCTGTCCGTGCTGCACGCACTAGTCGTCGTGCTCCGCGTCCGCGTCCTCCTGCGGTCCCCGGCATGCACCAGATGGCACTGCGTCCTTCCACTGCTCCTCTGCGTGTCCCGTTGCCTTCTCCTCCAGAGTCCTCTCTTCTTGTTCTTGCTGACCTAGAGTCTAACTCTCGTCGTGCTGCCAGACCTACTGACACGCGTCTCGTGGCTACTGTTGTCAGTGACCCTTCCTTTGAGTCCACTGTTGCGTCTGCCTTAGTTGCTGAGATTGTCGGCTTTGCTGCTCGCTATCGTCTAGACTACGCTGCTAGTCTTGTTGCTGAGTCTGAGTCTGTCTTTCCTCCGTCCGTCGGGGGTGAGTGTGCTCTTAGCTCGGACGTCCTTGAGGACAGGCAGGAGGAGTTCCAATGTTTTGCTGCTGCTTTACCTCGTCTCGTGTCCACGCTGATTGCCCCTGAGGGAGACCCGGATGCACCAGACATCCCGACTCATCGATCGTACGCTGAGGCGATCGAGGGTCCCTACTCCTCAGAGTGGCAGCCAGCCATGGACGCAGAGATGGCTTCCTGGAAGTCCACAGGCACCTACGTCGGCGAGGTTCCCCCACCTGGGGCGAACATCGTCAGTGGCATGTGGATTTTCAGGGTGAAGCGGCCGCCGGGTTCTCTGCCTGTCTTCAAGGCGCGTTACGTGGCTCGAGGCTTCAGTCACTGGCAAGTAGTTGACTACTTTCAGACCTTCTCTCCCACCCTGAAGATGACCACTCTTCGGGTGCTGCTACACATAGCCGCTCAGCGCGACTACGAGCTTCACTCTCTTGACTTCAGCACTGCTTTCCTACAGAGCAGTTTGCACGAGGAGATCTGGCTGGGCCGCCCACCTGGCTTCACTGGGTCGTTTCCTCCTGGTACTCAGTGGAGCCTCCGGCGGCCAGTTTATGGTCTCCGCCAGGCGCCCCGTGAGTGGCACGACACACTGAGGACTACGCTTGCGGCTCTTGGGTTCGCTCCTTCTACTGCCAACCCGTCACTGTTTCTGCGCACCGACACCTCTTTGCCGCCGTTCTACATCCTCGTGTACGTCGATGAATTGGTCTTTGCCACTGCTGACACTGCTGGATTCGCCCACGTGAAGGCCGAGCTGCAGAAGAGACACACGTGCACAGACCTGGGTGAACTGCGCAGCTACTTTGGCTTGCAGATCACCCGGGACAGAGCACAGCGCACCACTACCCTGACTCAGTCACACATGGTGCAGCAGGTCCTTCAGCGCTTCGACTTTACGTACTCCTTGCCTCAGGCCACTCCTCTGTCTACTCGCCACTCGCTCTCAGCTCTGCCTTCGGATGAGTCCGTAGAGCCGAGTGGCCCGTACCCAGAGCTTGTTGGGTGCCTCATGTACCTGATGACCTGCACTCGACCTGACCTTGCATACCCTCTTAGCATCTTGGCATGCTATGTTGCTCCTGGGAGACACCGACCAGAGCACATGGCTGCAGCGAAGAGGGTGTTGCGCTACTTGTGCAGTACGTCGGGCATGGAGCTAGTGCTTGGAGGGCGGCGTTCAGTGGTCCTCACAGGTCACGCAGACGCTTCTTGGGCTGACGACTAGGCTACGTAGCGGTCGTCACAGGGTTACACCTTCAGCCTTGGTTCCGGCTCTGTTTCATGGCGGTCTACCCGCTCGTCTTCTGTTCTCGGCTCCAGCTGTGAGGCTGAGATCTACGCGGGGGCCATGGCTGCACAGGAGCTACGCTGGATCACCCACCTGCTGAATGACCTGGGAGAGCCGCCTCGTTCTCCTCCAGTTCTGTACGTAGACAACAAGGCCATGCTGGCCTTGTGTCGGGAGCACAGACTGGAGCACAGAACGAAGCACATTGCTCTTCGCTACTTCCTTGCTCGTGAGCTGCAGCAGCGTGGTCAGCTGCGCCTTGCTTACGTGGCCTCTGAGGCCAACACTGCTGATATCTTTACGAAGGCACTTCAGCCTTATGATCATCAGCGCTTCTGTACGATGCTAGGTCTTGTGCTTACCTAGCCTCACTTGCTCACCTCTTGACCTTGCTTGTACTGTGATCTTTCTATTCCTGCACTTGCTTGTTTACCTTTATATATGATATTGCATGTGAACTGGCCTTGTGGCCTTGAACTTGTGCTCGAAATGTGTGGTGACGTTGTGATCCACCTTGAGCTTGATTTGCTTTGCTTGACTGGTCTTGTGACCTCTTGTTCTCCCCCACTTTGCCTATGGGGGTGTGTCAAACTCATATGCTATAGTCTGTGTAGGCTGTAGTGGGGCAGACAATATGGGGTACAACACTTTTAGGTTTTCCTACTTGTTCCCACTTGCTTGCTAGTTCATTCATTCCTCATTTCTTCACATTGCACTATTGAAGCAAGAGTACAATGAGTGAAGGCATGAGCGAAGAATATATAGTGAAACTACAGTGGTAACGGTAATGGACTGTGGTTGTCGCGCAACGTGCTTGGGACTCAGGTTGGGGAAAATGTCGAAGCGGAGGCCCGGAGCGCGGGTTACCCGCCGAGCCGTGGGGTCGGGGTGCGACGTGCGAAGGTGGCGGGAGGATTGTCGATGCGAGGGTTGCGAGTGGTAACGGTGCTGACTGTGGTGCTACAGTGGTGTACGCGCAGAGCGGGGACGCGAAGTAAGGAAAATGAATTTTCCTTACAACTTCTAACAAGTGAAGTAACTTTGCTTGAAGCAGCAACTTGCGTTAATATCCTCTACATGAGAAATTGTGGGCGGGATTATAGTCAACGGTTGTTCTATAACTTGGCACTTAGTCTCACCCATCAATGACAACTCCGTTAGGCAAACAATCGGCAGTCTTGTGAGGCGACCAGTGGCGATTGCATTGTTGCGAGTAGTAATCACTGAAATATTACTGAGCACTCCTCACCGCAACAAACGAAGCACGCACAACCAAGGTTGAAGATGAAAGGGCGGAGGTGACGCGAAAGGTCGCACAGTTACGAAGGCATCTGGACCGTCGGGCAGACAGCATCAGGGAGCAGCAGTGGCGAGGATTCTGCCCGAACGGTTTCGTAATTGTCTGGAGTCGCACGGTTGAAGTTCGCTTAAATAAGGGAATGTATCCCTTGAAGTACATGGCTAGCTAAGTCGATTTGTATTCTCCTGTACTGCTATTTATAGTGTTGTATTTGCATGTTTCTATTATCTCAAGCATTTACATTCACTCTACTATTGAGGTCAAGGGCCTACCACCACCAAAATCACTAGTGTGCGAACCTTCCGGAGGTGATACTGGCTACGATCAATTTCTGATCGCAACATGCATCATGTGCTCCAATGGCCAGCTTTCGCCTTCGTCCACGAACAAATTACCAGTGTCTCGAGCCATTCATATGGCTTTTTAACGAGAAAAACTCTTGTCAGACTCGTAAACACATTGGATCACATTGAAACGCATTGAACCACACACGTCTCACGAGAATATGTGTGTCTTAAGAGGTCATAGGAATACGCCTTACACCTAACTACCATACATTTTCACCGCATTATATCCTATATCTTTAGACACGAGGCTTTTGTAACCAACGTTTTGTTTTGGTGCATCCCTATGTTGACAATTTGTTCATAATTTTGCGTCACAAACGTTATTCGTAACCAATTGTGATGCTTCGTAACAATGTCGATGCATAGCTAGGCCGCTCACCTAAGTCAACGAGGTTAACGAGCTGACCTCCTGAGCTGCCATGGCACAGGCGTAGATCTCAGCCCTAACGCTAGAGGAAGTAATAGACGACGACATGGTAGTCCTCCACGACACTGTTCCAAAGCCCAACCTGGGTCGATCTGCTAGTCTCCAAATCGTCGAAAAGTGTCCCAGTGCCCGGTAAATCGCACTGGCTCTAATTCTCTCCAGGCACAAGCCCATGCCTTATGTAGTCATTTGTACTTTGCTAAGCTCACAACAGCCGACCAGTGAAGAGGACGGTGTTTCGTAGTCGCAACAAAGCAGGTCAGGACGCTGAGAGGATAAGTGAGGTCTGAACGAGTACATGCCATAAAATATGTGGGGCAACCCACAAGCTCTGTGAAGGGACCACTAGGCCAAAAACGCTCGTGGGGAGAGTAGCAGTGAGTATATGGTCATGGCAAGGGGAGTGGAATGTGTGGTGCAGAAATGAAGCTCCAACCGTTGAAGGATCTGCTGCACCATGTGCAACTGAGTCAGAGTGATGGTGCAAACGACTTTGCCCTGGGTGATATGCAAGCCAAGTTAGCTACGTAGCTTACCAAGGTCAGTGCACGTGTGTCTCTTCTGCACTCCATACTTTACTGAAGCCATAACAACCCTGTGTGCTGTCATGAAGACCAATTCGTCATCGTAGACTAGGACAGATTTAGAAGTGCAGCAAGAACGAACGAGCAGCGATGGGTCAGCGGACGAAGCCTGCAACCCAAGGTCAGCAAGAGTGGAGCTCTGCTTCAGGTCCTCTATTTCCTTCTCTGGAGTCGGCTCCCACTCGCTCTCCTCCCCATCGATTACGTTCGTCTTCTCCTACTGCATAGTCCCATTTGACCGTCCGTTGTTCCCCTGGTGCTCATTACTCGTCTCCTGGTAGAGGCCTCCATTATTTTTTCTTTTGTCCACACCCTCCTCGTTCACCGCCTTTGTCCGTCACAGCGTTGCCTCCTTCGTCAACTATCACGGTTTCCTATGTGCCTCTCACTAATTACTACTATACCACCGCTCGCACGTGTCCAGTCCGCTAACCAACTGGGCTAAAAGGGCATGTTTTCTTGGTGGGTCAGCGCACCCATACCCCCCCAGGACGACACCTGTAGCCCTTGCGGAGATAACTGCAGCAACGGGAGCTAGGCTACGGGCTAGGCACGTGTGCTCGTGTGATCTCTGCGTTCGTTCACTTAGTCGTTTCCTTGTGTTCACGCTTCTTGCTAGTTCACGGGGAGAATTGGCAAGAGTTCCACTAGGGAAAACATGACAACAATGATACAATGAAGTTGGCATAGCTAGACTACATCAAGGCAAGCATTCAGGTCGGCCAACTGCCAGCACAGCTTGGTCGACTGCGGTCCAGCACGACTTGGTCGACTGCGCTCCAGCAAGGCAAGGTCGACGGCGTAGCCAACGTCACAGGTTGACGGCGTGCCAGCG